AGCCTACACAGAGCATATGGTTTAATAAATGACAGCCTAACCAGTACACAGCCAGTACAGATTAATCCAAGAAAAGACTTGCCAGCTGCTTTCAATGAGGTCAAGCAAGTGGTATATTTCTTTATTGCCCCACTAAACATTCATTTTTAAACTGCCAATCAGCAGATTCATAGCTGTTGCATATCTAGAAAACCCCCTTTTCTTTTCTTTCCCAAAAGAAAAAGATTGGTTCAAAACGTCACAATGTGTACTTTTCACTGACAGGAGATTTCAGCGCATACTGTTTACTTGGTTGTCTGTGTAGAGGTCCACTATGCATAAATCAGTCCAGAGAAATAGAGGATTGTTTTACTACACAATGAAGATTTCCAAAAAGATCTTAATTCCTTGTTCAGGAAATGGTACCATTGTTTACTTGAAACAGATATGTTACATGGCCTGGAGGAATTTTGTTTAAGGAGACAGACTTGCTGTCATTGTCAGCAAGAGTGTTGCATTGTTCTTGACTATGACAATTAGGAATGTATTTTGATTTGAGGGTAATTAGCAAAAATGGCAAAATGCTACTCCAAAGCTTGACAAATTTTCCAAATGAGGAAAACTAAAATGAGTCCAGATCTTGGGATAATTTTCAGATTACTGAAAAATATTGCTTAATATCAACAAGAAATCAGCTATGAAGAATCTCTGTAATTTCCACGGTATTAACTGCAAAAAATTTCATATACAAATTAGCAGACCTGACAAATGTTATGCCAACATCTTAAATCTCTCAAATTTTTTTACCCTGAGGTCAGATTAGCAACATGTTAGTGAGCAGAAAGACTGCTTTCTGTCCTTTTTTGTTTGAACCCCCCTGCTGAATCCTCTCAGTTGCTTTTTCTCAACCACAGTACCTATAGCCCTTCTACCTTCCAGCCTCCTCTCACCTCCTCAAGACCTCTATGGACACTTCTCACCTTCCTTCTTCCCTTTTGCTTTCCTGAAATGCATCAGTCCATGGGCTGCTGAACTTCCCATCAAACTTTCATGCCTTTCCCCATTCTTAGCCCTGTGCTCTTACCTACTCAGGGACACATAACACCATAGACGCAAAATTCGGTTCTACCACTCCAAGGATAATTTCTTTTCGAATTACCTCTAATTTTGTGTAAACTGCTAAAGGGGCAGGTTTAAATTGCAGCCAATTTAAGAAGAGAAAGTTAAAACTGAAAAACCTTACGATTGTATTACCATACCCAATATACAACACTCAAAACCTTTGTCTTGAAAGAGATCATGTTCTCATGCTTCAATCCCCTGTGGAGCAGAACTGACCTGTTCTACCATAGCACATGACAACATATTGTCATATGGTAGCTCAGAATCTCTGCTGTAGGCAGATTTTGCTGTTTGCAAGATGAATGAGTGAGAGGCTTGTCAGACACCCAGTTGTGGTTCCAGAGTCCCCAGATAAATCAGTGTTTGTCTGGACAGCTCTAAACAATAACAGCTGCTAATAGTCCCCCTTGGGATCATTTTCTAATTGCAGATTACCAGACACAGCAGGGCATCCCTTCCTTCTTCTGGGATAACTCTTGTGCTGGGATGGAGGGGAGAAGATTTATGAACCAAGTATGCAAGCCTCAGCTGAGAATTGCCAGCATGGTAGAGACAACTGATCTGTTAGTGAATGCTCGAGAGCTTTCTGGTGCTTTTATGCTCTTTCTTGCAGGGAATCTACCTTTAGCCCTATTAATATGGGCTTGTTAATTCATCAGTGCAGGTATTATACACCAGAAAGGCTTCATTGCCATTTATTCTGATGCTTCATTTAGTTGTTCATGTTTTTCAGGACTGTGCTGTCCTATTAGGTTTGTGTGCCTGTTGTCATTTGTACCGAATTCACTTATCTGTTCCATCTCACTTGAGAAAACCTTTATTTCATGTTTTTCCCATAGAGAAATCTGACTGTCAGATCTGTGGTGTTACATCAATGTAAAAAACAGGAAGCTGTTGTCTGTATGCCTGGGACATGATTTCAGAAGAGAAAGTTTTAAGAGCAGTAGTGATCCTTAAAAACTTAATCCTTGTTAGTGAACTCTTTGTATTTCTTGCCAAAAATATTCTGATGCTTCAGTTATAATGTGATGTATCCACTTTTTCTTACTAATCTTCAGAAAGTGTAGGAATCTTGTTTGAACGATGACAAAACACTTAAGTAAGATTTCAGATTCCAATACCGGCTCTGGAAATGGCTCTCCAAAGTCACAAAAGCTTCCACAAGATCCTTATAACTGCTGATACCTATCTCAAGCGTGTGGCTGTGAAGTGTCAGTCTTAACAGTGCGTGAAGTCTTACCTATTGTGTGAAGAATTGCTCGTACCTGTTGCTTGTGGTAGGAATTTCTGTACCTGTCACTAGAGGGCAACGCAGCTACTCACATCGGCACGCCACCCGGGTGAGTTCCCAAGCAGCTCTCTGCTGAGATCCGCCGGTGCGAAGTTCACGTAAAAATTTGCAATTTTTTCTCTACAAACCCCACGCTCGGGTGGTAACTTTGACAGTTACTTGTTGAATACTTTTGAATGGACGATCCAGAAGGACAATGAGAAGAGACTAATGCTGCTTACAGCAAGAGACTTTGACTTCTCTGTTTGTGTCACTTCCTCATAGGGGTCATTGCTCACTGCAGTGCTGAGAACAACTGCAATCAGTTTCAGACACATAGTCTCTGATTTTGAACTTCTGATGCTAATGAAAGATTTTTCATTGACTTAGTTTCATGCAGGATTTGGTCTTTGGTACTGACTTTTATGCACAAATGCATATACCAGAATATTATTAGCCTAGGTTTGCTTAAACCAGCCTTCTGAATAGTGATGCAGATGCAACAGGTATCTGAGTTTCATACAGGCTGGAGGGAAAAAAAAAAAAATTTGATTCAGTCACATGTAACTCAAATATTGCCAAACAGGTGAACTTGCCTTAACTTGCAAGCACCTGGAATGGAAACAATCTATAATTTTGAACACTCCTAAATGCAATAATACTCTCATTTAACTATGACTGTGCTGTCTACATTAAAGGGTGATGCAATTTCCAAATGAGATAACGCTGTGTGATTACTTAGTATCAAAGGTGATTTAGTAATTTCACTGAGATTAAGTTTTTACAACTGCCCCTGAAATTTAAAGTGTTGCCAACACCCTACTCTGCCTTGGAGTCAGAGTTCTCTGATTTCATATGATTATCTTGGGAAGGTTTCCAAGTATGTTTATGCTGGTGAGTGTCTCTAGGTCATCTTTCAAGGAGCATATAAATATGTATATTCAAGCTGAACAAATTCAAACATGAAGTTCACATATTGACTCCTTCCTCCTGCTTCTTTGCAGTGTAACCCCACAATTTCTCTCTCATTCCACATAGCAAGTAACTCTAATCAAAATCAACTATCAACCTTTTCTTTTAATAAAGAAGGTAAAAGACATCCATATGTAGGTATTTCAAGAATTTTCTTTAGTGATAAGAGAGAGATAGTCTTGTCAAGTTATAAGAGTTAAAACATGGTGAAGTCAGTGCATAGGAGAAAGGCTCCAGATTTGTTCCCCTCCCCTAGAATACCAAGCTAAGAAGGAACACTATCCAACAGAAATGTAACGTTATATATCTCTTTTAAGCAAGCAGCCTTGCACTTTGCATACATCCCATGTAATATATGATATGGAAGTCCCTCCCATGAACTAAGAAGGGCCTGGATGTGGATATCTTCCATTTTCAGATATGTATGTTTCTGGTGCTTTGGGATACTACAGATACTTGTATTAAAATATAGTTTCACGATTTTTTTCTTAAAGCTTTGAGGTAAACAAAATGGTACTTCTTAATTTAATGGTAACTTTTGTTTAATGGTAACTTTTTGTTTGACAAGAACTTTTATTAATACAGTGTCTTCTATTTGGAATGCAGGACGACTTATTTGGGGTTGGCTCATACCTTCACTTCCTTCAACATCCTTTTCTGACATTCACCAGTACAGTAAACTTCAGAAGAAGGCAGATGAAATCCCACTGCTGGTTATAATTTTTTTTTGTCGTAAAAATGATACAGCATTTACAACAGTTACATTCTAACCCTCAGCTATATCCACATTCATATTTTGAAATAAATGTAGATGCTATCCTAGTTTTTGTTGCTGGAGGCCAGTTTCACTTTCTTTCTCTTAGTCCTTTTCAAACTTAAAGACAATAAAAGGTGATGAAAAAGTCTTTGTGGTGAATCCCAAGACTAAGATTTCCCCAAGGCAATGTGGTTAGTGCAGAACGAAGAAAGGCATTTAATTCTGTAGATAGAATCCCGTCCTTTCAGTAACTGAATACAGCCCTATTAAAAACTCATCTTGAAACAAAACAACAACAAAAACCGCTAGGCAGAGATTTTCTTGGATTTGTAGATAAATTCTCTCACGAGTCCCTCTGCATGCAGAAAAGTTTTGTCTGCTGCCGTCTGATCACACTGCAGGACCACACAGGGGCTGAGGAGATTTATTTTAACAACTCTTCTTCTGAATCAAAACACGACCCAAAATCAAAACGTGAACTTTTGCGCCCCCGGACGGTTTTGGGTTTGGTTTGTTGTTCTTTTTTTTATCTCTCTGGTAAAAAAACAAAACAAAACAAAACATAGAAACAAAACCAAAAAAACCCCCACAAACAAACAAACAAAACCCACAAAAAACCACACATACCAAACCAAACCAAAACAAAATCAACTAACCAAACAAAAAAGAACAAGAAAAACCCATCAGGGACTGATCAAGAGAGGACAGCGGTGAGGGTGCGCCGCCCGCCGCGGCGCTGGAGTCGCGTCCCTCGCAGGTGAGCGCTTTTGGCGGGGTGGGGAGGAGGGAGGGGACAAGGAGAGGGATGTCTCCCCTCTCCCCGGCCCTGGGGCGGGCCGGGGGGACCTGAGTGGGTGGGGCCCGCGTCAGTCAGGGGCAGGGCGAGGCCGGCGGCGGGGGATGGCGGTGCCCGCCCGGTGCGGGGCCGCAGTTGTGCAGGAGCGCCGGCACCATGCGGGCGGCTGCGGGGGTAGGAGCGGGGAGGCACCTGCTCGTGTGAGAGCAGGAGGGAGGGAGGGCGGGCTCCCTCCGCGGGCTTGTCGCTGTCTCGGCTCTGCTGCCGCTCCGACAATCCCGCGGAGAGAGGCTCATCCAGTTCTGTTCCGTTCACCCCTTTCTTTCTAGGATGTGGTGGGCATCCTGTGCTTGGTTTCTGTGGCGGCCACGCTGGATTTCAAGTACCACCACACCGAGGAGCTGGAGAAGTACCTGAAGGGAGTTCACGCCGAGTACCCCTCCCTGACCCACTTGCACAGCATCGGGCGATCGGTGGAAGGTAAGGGGAGGGAGTGGAGACGGGAGAGAAGGCTTTTTGTTTTAAGCTGGGACAAGTGAGGGTGAAGGTGGCTGCGGTGGCGTTTCCTGGGCGCTTGCTGGCGGCGGGGCTGCTCTAACAAATCTCTGAAGTTTCCTCCTCCTCTTGCTTAAGCGTGAATAACACCCTCTGGCTGAAGAGTCATACGTGTCATCGGGGTAGACGTTCTCCCAACACCTCTATGTCTTTGAGAATTGGAAACCTTCTAAGTGGCAATTTCAGAAAGAGGGCTGTCTTTAAGGAGCCTAAAATGTGTAGGACCCATTTGCCAGGTGCCTGTTCTACATGGGACTGCATGACACTGTGTTTTCTAACTTGTGGTTTTGTTAAAAATACCTTATTTTGGTTGGTTGGTTGGTTTTTAACTTTATCCATTATTCCAGTAAATCTGGACTGGCTAGAAAAAGTATTTCAAATTTCACGCTGATACCACGTTCCGTGCTTTAGATGAAGAATGGGATTTCAGTCTCAAACCCTACAGGAAAATGTGCTGAAATCAATAATCACCTAATCACCTTTCTGGCCTTATATAGATATTTGATTTTATCCCTCTATGATTGGTACTTTTTTACCATACATTTATTGGGGGAGGTGAAGAATTTACTTTTTTTTTTTTTTTAAGATATTAGAAAGATTAGTGTTTTATTAGCAAATAAAAAATACTTTAGTAGATCCAGTTCAGGAAACCAAATTGCTTTGATAAGAGGTATAAAACTAGATAGGGAATCATCTGTTCCAATGAAAGGAGACAGTTGTAGCTTCTATTATCAAATCTGTGCTTGAGTTTTAAAAAACAAAATCTGTATTCTTCTTGCTGTAGATAATCATGATGAATGCTAGTACTTCCTTTTCATGCTTCCTTCTTTGTTTTAGCATGTATATCAAAGTAGACAAGGAATGTAAAGTTATTTAAACTGTGTTATTCTTGGGTTCATCAAAGGCAGAATTGGATTGGATTATGTTATTCATGCACACAAGAGAAGGCTAGTTCCTGTAAGTACAGTTCCCTCCAGTACGAACTACCAATTATCCCCATCCTCATTTTCCTACCTTAAGGGAACTTAGCTAATATTCTGATGATAGGACTAGATCCTGACTTTTCTGCCAGGAACTCTGCTGGCTTATCTTCATGGAGGTAGGAAAAAACCTTTCATCCAACCTGAGAGACTGAAACTCTGGCATATACATACATATCTAGGTACATGAACGTTGATAACATGAAGTGTTCAGCTTGTCTTTGTTCCATCAGGATGGAAACTGGAAATTCATCATCTCTTGCTTTTGATTGAGCAATGCACTGAAACATCATTCAGGTTTTGATATATTGCCTTCTGCTTTGCCAAACTCTGTGAGAGGAGAATTGTGTGGGCTTTCCTTGTTCTGCCAACTACATGTCATGATTCATTACAAAAGTGATCACTTACGCTTTTTGCATGTCCTTTCTGCCTGCAGTGTTTTCCTGAATGGAATAGGTGGGCAGTGGAAACTTTAAGGGCCGTGTAAAGGAGAATGGTAGTGAAAAATGTTCACTGCTTCTCTATTCTTTTATCTCCTTCTAAATGTTAAGAGATTTCTACCTGTGTTAAGAAATGTGCCTTCAGAGTCCCCTGGAATGTGGTAGAGGATGGTACTGAATTAGGGTGTAGTTTTCCTTCTTCTTCTTTTTTTTTTTTTTTTTTTTTGTACTAAGAGAAATAACAGTGGTAACAGTGGTTATTTAATTTTGGTCAATGGGCTGAAGTTTTATTCCTCTTTTCTCAGTTAAGCTGACACAAACAAGACTGTATGTGCATGCACTTACTTTACTAGTGTTGTCTCTCTACCAATTAGCATTAAACCATGATAGCAAAATGTACTTATTTAAATTAATTTCTGTTTCTCATTATCAATAGCATAAAACTGAGATCAATGCAATGTAGTAAGTTGACATTCCTGATGCGGAAATTCTTGGTATGAATACAAAATCCCATGGATCAAAGTGGTGTCTATAAAGCCAACAGATGTAATTTTACTGCTATCATGTGTGGCTACTGTTCCCATTAGATTTGTTAATCTAGGATTTACTACCATTTTATCTAATAATCTAGTATTTTATTCTGCCATCTAGACTTGGATTATGAAGAGTGTTTGACTATGATTGGTGTGTGTAGACACAGAGCTCTGCTAGGGTATAGAGTCTTCTTGCAGAAGCCCATAGTTTAGGTCTGGTGCCCATCTAGTCTGAGTTCCTATTCAAAGCAAGGCCAATTTGAAAGCTAGATTATGATGCTCAGGGCCCTCTCCACTCAATTTCTGAATATCTGCAAAGGTGGAGATTCTAAAGGGTCTCTGAGTACCTGATCCAGTGCTCAACTGCCTTTGTTGTGCAGATGTTTTCCTTCTTCTGATTAGAATTTCCCTTTCTGTGAGTAATGTTAGCTGTTCTTTTGCTGTGTGCCTCTAAAGGTTTGGCTCTGTCTCTCTGTAATGTCCCTTTATTTATTGGAAGACTGTAGTTGCATCCAGGCTAAAAAAACTGACCAGCCCCAGCCTCTCCTAAGACGCAGTGTGATCATCTCAGTGGCATTCTGCTGGACTTCCTCCAAGGTGGTGTTGTCTCTCTTGTGGCCAGGTACTCATAGCAGGGCATGGTACTCTAGATGTAGCTTTACTAATGCTGAGTGGAGGGGAATAGTAATTTCTCTCAAGATACTGGTTTAGGTTCTTGCTGATGCACCCACCCAAACACACAGGTGGTTTTTTTTTTGCTGTGAGAACACATTAATGACTCACATTTGTCTTGTCCACCTGGACATTGCTCCCACGTCCTGCAGCCTCTAGGCTGCACAGCTGCAACCTAGCCAGTCTGCAGCCTGTATAAGCATGGGGTTATTTTCCTGGGTTCACGATCCAAATATGAGGTTCTTTCATTCCAGGTGCAGGATTTTGCATTTATCTTCGTCAGACTTAATGAGCCTTCTTTTGAGGAATTCCTTCAACTTACCAAGGCCCCTCTGAATGGTAGCCCTGGCCCTCATGAAGATATTAAACAGTATCAGCTTCAGTATTGACCATTGAGGAATGTTGCTAATGATTTGCTGTCTCTTGAACCACCAGCTGCTCAGTTCAACCAGATTGTGACCTTACTGTAGTCTACTCCTTTATTCGATGTGTTCCCATCTTGTTTACAAAGGTACTGTGAGGGTGGCTAGGCACTGGAACAGGCTGCTCAGGAAAGTCGTGAGGTCTCCATCCTTGGAGATATTCAGAAGCTGTCGGACACAGTTCTGGGCAGTCCTGGGAGTAGCAGGCCCTGCTTAAGCAGGGGGGTTGGACCAGGTGACCTCTGGAGGTCTAATCCAAGTGATTCTGTGATTCTGTTGAAAGGCTTGCTAAGGTCAAGACTAAAGAGATAGGGTGCTTTCCTCTTTCCCACTAAGCCAGTTATTTCTGCATAAAACCTAAGCAGTCAAGTAAGATCTGTTGTTGATAAATTTAAGGTGAAATTTACAAAGTGGTTTTATTTGATGTATGTGGATTATAACAGCAACGTACACAACGAAATCAGTACCGAGATCCTCAATGGAAAACAAACTAAAAGAAGCCCAATCTGTTTTGTGGTGGTTTACATCACCATATAGAAATTCCCCTCTGCCAGATTACTGGGAGCACCTCTGCCAAATTACTGGGAAGAATGTGTTTGAGACTGGCAATGGCCTGTTCAGTCTCCAGGTTTGTACATTTGGAAGCTAAGATATTTAATTATGCATCTTATCTGCTAAACTATTATCCTTAAACAAGAGGGGAAAGGAGCTTAAAAAGATGTAGCTCTTTGGCTGACAAAACTGAGTGTTATGTTTTTGATCTAATTTAGTGAGCATCCTCAAATTCCTCAAGATTTGTAGGTGATCTACATGTTTGTGAGAGACTTGATATGGTCTTAGCGGCTGGTAGGCAGAGATGTATGATGACCCAGAAAATACCTTAATTCTTTTATATTGTTTCAGGTGTGTTGTTGAATAAACTCATAAAAGATTTTTGGCAGGAGTTCTGTTTTCTAATACATCCAATCTCAGAACGATGTGTGCTCTGTATAATAATAGAGGAAGCTGCAGAGCTGCATCAGTCTGGAGAATGTGACCTGGTGTAATCATATTAACTTGTCCTGCCTAATGCCACTCCAGCAAAAAACAGACTGACTCTTCAGCAAGCAAACCTTGTGTGCATTAAAAAAAAAAGTATTTGAAGTATGCATATGATCTGTGGCTTTTTTTTTTTTTTAATCTGTTCAAGGTACAGTGCTGTTGTTATCATTTGAAAAGAAAATGAAGGTGGTGGGAAGCAGACTTAAGGATTCTAACAGATCTGATGACCTTCTTAGGAGGACAAAGACAAGCAACTGTTGAAAGAGCCAAGTGACTTTCATAGTAGATCCACACTCTTTAAAAACTGTTTTCAGATACATTCTAGATTCAGATAAAGTGATGGCATGCCAATTACAGGTTGGTTTAGATCTAGATTTTCTGGAGGCCAGTCTGCATTTTTGGAATTCCAGTCAACTTGGAACAGTTGTAAAGATCCTTAGGTCAGATTCTCCTCACTGAGCAAAAAGTTGTGGATGGTTAAAGTACTTTTGTCTTTACCTAGTGAAGTTTCAAAGTTGACTTCATAGATTAATATCTCTGGCAGATTCCATCACTGTAGAGTCATGAACAGAAGGGAACTGACCAGATTTAACTCTGGTTCCATTAGAAATTCTGAGGAATACCTTGCAAAAGAGCTGTCCTGAAAACTTCTTTGGATGAGAACTATGTGGTTTAGTCATTTTATTCTGATGCTTAGTATTCAACTGCTCTCTCTGTTGCCCTTGCACTGGCACATTCTATCCATTAATCTTAAGCACTTTGCTAACTTTGATTTTTTTATTTTCTGGTTTTTTGTGAATTAGTGAATATCACTTATTAGTGTTCTGCTACCCCTGC